AAGCCACTCCTCAGATAGCCTCCCGCTGTGGATCTGCTTCTTCCTCCGACATTGGAGAATCCCACCTCACCTCCATGAATTTCTTCCATTTTTCTTTTTCCCATCATTTCTGCTCTTTCCATGCCCAATAGATAACCACTGGCAGTAAGCCTTATTTCCCTTCAGGATTTCAAAAGGAGTCACTGAGACAGTAGGGAAGCCTCTACTGCCACTTTTTATGGTGAGAGGAAGATAGCATCTGAACTTGTGAAAGCTTGAAAGTAGCTGGAGATTGAGGACCAGTTGCTGATCCCACTCCCTGGTCTGTTCAACTTCCATATATCCAGTTGGGAGATCTGAAGGAGAATTGTACTCATACGTGCTTGAACATAAGTGCTGTCCTCCACGTGATCCTGGATTCCAGACCTTGCAAAAGCTCATGGAAGTCTGAGAAACTAGATTTGCATATTCAGGACTTGTCTTCTCCCCATTTTAGAGTCCTTACATATTAAAATGAATGCCTGAAGAGGATTTTTTTTTGCTAAGCTTGGAAGCCAGTGTGTCTTCCATTATATACAGTACTTCAGCTTTCATATTCAGCACTCTTTGACAACAAAGGGAGGAATATTGGTTGAATCAGATACCAAAAATGAGTACAATATGTGGGTATTCTGCTATCAGAACATGTAGAATGCCTGGGATCCAACATTAGAAAAACCTTTTAAATGCACATTCACTTTACAAATCTTCATACTATCTTTACTTTACTATCTTCATACTAGTTAGAAACAGGACAATTTCAGCATCACTTATGGAAGTAATATTTGACAAAAGGAACATTTTGCTTACTTATAACTAGTAGTGTGAAACTGTAGTCATACTTTATTATCCAATAAATATTTTATGTACCTCTTTCCTCCTTTTCCCCAGGAGAAAAGATTGCGGTGCTGTTAAGTACTGGGCTTTCTTCGAAGACTGCCATTTTAATGAATTTCATAAGTGCCTTTCATAGGCCTGTAAGCTTTCAATATCAGCAGATCCTTCCATTCAAAACTGGATATTTACTGTCACTGCGGGAATGTTTTTGTATTTATCATTAGTGGAAATGGTAAGTGTTTTGTCTCATTCCCTTTAATCTCTTAAAGAACTTTGTCAGAAGTTCAGTGCTGATTATATTAATAGATTGGAATCTATTTACTAAGTGGCAAAATTGGTAGCCATTAAAAAAAAAAAAAAGTGGCTTCTTTCCCCTTTTCTCCATCTCTCCCATTTCCTTGCCCTATCTAGTATTTAATTCAACAATATAATTAGAAGAGTTTATCAGAATATTAGTGTTGCATGACTTTCTCTACTCAAGTAGTTTCATAATTGATTTATCACCCTGACACTGATGGATCTAAGATCAGCTTCCAGGCTATGAACCTAATCTTTTAGTACAGCCATTTAATCTGGCATCATCCAAATGTACTGATCTACAATCAAGCTGTTCAGGAATGATAGGAATTGTTCAATGCATCTAGATGTATCAGACTTTTAAGGGGAGAATAGTCTTCTCTAGAATAGAATAAGCATTCCTTAATCCAGAGCAACGTGGAAGTACTCTTTTGGTGGCCCTTGGAAGCCTTCTGACCCTGGCTGCTGAAAACTGAGGGCTAATTTCCTTTTTTTTTTTTTAATAGAGAAGAAATGAAAACTATACTGTTTTTAAGCCTTAAAAAAGGAGTATACCAGCTGTTTTTAAAATATCCTCAACATTTTCCCCTCTATAACCTACTCCTGCCCTAGCAACTTTGTGGCCCCCACTCCCAAAAAAGTTGTGTGGCCCTTAGCCACAAAAATCTTGCACTCCTGCTTTAAGCAAACTGACCAACTACCCACAAAGTTAATCACAGCACACCAAGCCAAAACCAAAGAAATTGTATTACAGCTTATGCAGTGTGGTTCTTCACCTGGTCTCAGTGTTTGGTTTGAGTTGGATCTATTCATAGCATACCAGTTGCAAACAACAGTGAAGAATATAAGAACATTAGCTGCTTTTGTACGAATATTAGTAATCAGACATTTTCTTTGTTTTAATAATTTCAGTTTCAAGGGAAATATTTTTTTAGCCTAAAGTGACTAAGGCACTGCCATATGGTTACTACTATTACTTTTAGTTTTTCTAAATATTTTTTCTTATTTCTGTCTTTCCCTCTCGGTCCCAGGCACTGGTACTCTTATGTAGGCTTTCTCTTTGCAAAATTTAATATTCAGCGAAAAATTGTGAAAATGTATTCAGCACTGGAGTCCTACAGCTGCTTTTCTTTTCTAGGTTAAAGTGGACAGTGTATGTATGTTTTTTATAAAGTGCTAATTTTTACCTAAGCAGGCACTTTCCAAATGTATTGGACTATAACTTCCATAACACCCAGTGCTGGCTGGCACACATGGGATTTCTAGTGCAGCATATATGGAAGGAGCCAAATCAAAGAAGGCTGATATAGCATGTACTTCAACCCTAAAATAAAGGATTTGGAGGTTATTAAGAGAGTTAACTATATACCTTTACTGTTGCCTTTTTACCCATAAATTAGACAATAATACTTTACATTTGAGACTGAAGTGAAACTTTTGCTTGCCATGTGGAGATTTAACTGGAGATACACAGCACTGAACCTAAAGCTTCTGCATGCAGTTTTTATTTTGACTTTGAGCTATAGCTCCTTTTACATGTGCCAGAGCCAGTAGCACCCCTCCCCCCCCTGCCCACGATTCAGAACCCCACAAACCAATAA